TTTTTTATTTTTTTTTTTTTTTTTTTTAAAGAGATTCTGTAGGGAATGAACTTGGACATGACCTCTGAGCTATTTAGCCCATACTGGATCAACTTTAGAGTCAGAGAAAATGGTTTCTAGTGTGTGCTCTAAACAAGGTTCAGATAAGAATGGGGTAGGAGTCTTGAGGTTTGCACAAATTTAAAACCAACTGATCTTGATTAAAGATCATACAGTTATAGTTCGGTCTAATGTCCCTGTTGGTAGTAGTTTGCATGTACTTGCATCATGTTCAAACTTTTCCTCTTTCCAAGCATTGGCCAATATGGATGTTCCCACAGGTGTCTTTGCATGTTGTTGTGTGTATGCACATGCGTGTTTGTTTGCATTTGACATGAGTATATTTAGCAGTGCTTAAAGTTCAAATATTAAAGAAATGAATAAATTGCAAAGTGAGGGCTTTCCATGAGCAAAGGCCATGGTTAACATCTGTATTTCTGTTTTGTAAATAATAAAAGCAAACAGAACAAAACTTTTCCTTTCTATTTTTCTAATCCTGTCTTTAAATATTTCAACTATTGGAACATTGTTCCCATATGTGAGACATGTGTACCTGTGTTCAACATTATATGTGTATCAAGATTTCACATGTACCTCTATAGGTACACTTTTTCTGTTCTTATGTATTAATTAAAATAATTTCAAATTTTAAGAAAACAAGGAAGAGACAACGTAATTCATTTTCTTGCTGATTTAAATATTCTATACTGCTATTAGTTTGTTTATAAGTCTGGAAATATTTAGAACACAGGCTATGAACAAAAGCTTCGAGTTGAATTTTGAAGCTTAAAAATAATAAATTTGATCCTTTGTGACACTACTTTGGATGGTTCTGCTATTTGTAGAAATTGGCTATTCTTTTCTTGTCTGTTTGTTTTAAAAATAAAATCACATACTATATTTATTTATTGATAGCCTTGAAAGAAAATCTTTTAAAGTTGATCTCATAGAAGTTGAAAAATAGAACAGTTGTTTCCTAAGGCCAGAGAAAGGTTGAGTGGAGGGAAGAGATGAATACTAAGTTACTGTTAGACATGAGCAAGAAGTTCTAGTGTGGTGTTTCACAGTAGGATGACTACATATAATGATACAGTAGCATTCAAGGAACTAGAAAAAAAAGGATTTTGAAAGTTTTCAACATAAAGAAATGGTAAATGTTCAAGGTACAAGCATACTTAACCTAACTTAAATATTATGCAATGTATACATATATGAAATCATAACATGAAACCCCATCAAAATATACAGCTTTTTGTGTTTTGTAAATCATTTAAACTATATGAAAAAGAAGTTGTTTTAAAAATTAATAAAAATAAGTATACTATAAGCTCAATGGTAGAGTGCTTGTCTCACAGGCATGAGGCACTGGGTTCAATTCTCAATACCACATAAATTAAAAAGAAAGAAAGAGAGAGAGAGAAAGAAAAATAAGTATACTATAAATAGGCAAAACTCATGTGAATGGATGACAAATATTATTCTGCAGCCTGTGTACTCAGAAAAATGAGATATTATATTCCATCTGATTCAAATGTATGATATGTCAATGTCATTGTACTATCATGTGTAACTAATTAAAACAAATAAAAAATAAAATAATAATATTAAAAAAATATATTAAAGGAGTTTCTATGTCCACCTTCTCTTCTATTGATTCTCTATTCACATTTTACCTCATTCCCAATCAAGCTCTGTTCTCTTTCCATGGATCTGTTCTTTGACAGAGTCATCATTGATGTACTCAATAGAAGGGTCACTTTTGATCCTCCTCCTTCAACCTCTCAATGACACTGACGCAGGTGATCACTCTCTTCCTCTTGAACAATTTCTTTTTCTCTTGGCTTCCAGACACCACACACTCCTGGTTTGGCTTCTTCTTCTTTCCACTCTCTTTTACTTTTTGGATCCCTTTATCTTTTTTAAAAAAATGTATTTTTGGATGTTGGTGGGCCTTTATTGTGTTCATTTATTTACATGCAGTGCTAAGAATTGAACCCAGTGACTCACACATGCTAGGCAAGTGCTCTACCACTGAGCTACAACCCCAGCTCCTGGATCCCTTTATGAATGTGGAAGTTCTCCACTAATATTTTTGAGGCATGGGGAGTGTAATAGTGTTGATTCTAGGAGCACTTAAGCAGTGAATCACATCCCAAGTCCTCTTTAATATTTAATTTAGAGGTAGGGTCTCACTGAGTTGCTTAGAGCCTAGCTAACTTGCTGAGGCTGGCTTTGAGAACTTGCAATTCTCCTGCCTCAGCCTCCTGAGCCTCTGGGATTACAGGTATATACCTCTATGCCCGGCTTCCCATGGTACTCATCTTAACCTCCCTTTTTCCCTCTCTCAAGAACTCTTCCTGAGTAATTTCATCTGACTGCATAGGTTTAAATACCATCTGCCTGCTCTTGACACCCAAAGATGACTTTCCATGTCTAATAGGGATTTCAAACATAACCCAAAATACACTTTTAATTCATCTTCCTGCTGTTCTTCCCTCATTTTTTCTTTTCTTTTTTTTAGAGAGAGAGAGAGAGAGAGAGAGAGAGAATCTTTTTTAAATATTTTTATTTTTGTTTTTAGTTTTCGGTGGACACAACATCTTTGTATGTGGTGTTGAGGATTGAACCCTGGCCACACGCATGCCAGGTGAGCGCGCTACCACTTGAGCCACATCCCCAGCCCTCATTTTTTCAATACTAAAATTTTTCCACCAGTAACATCACCATCCATGAAACCGATCAAACTAAAATCTAAAGTATTAACCTTGTTTCCTCCTTTGCCTTACTTCCTCGAAAAGTAAATCCTATCAGCTTCATCTGTACAATAAATGCTACATACGTGTGCCTCTCTTGTTCTCCCCTACACTTATGCCTCAGCTGGTCATTATGATCCATTATCTGTTGCTCAACAGTGCCTTCCTAATTGGGTTTTTCTCTTCCCTGGCTTGCCCTGCTATAATTAGTTTTATCCAATGTAAAAATTCACCTTCATAAATACAAATCAGATCATGTTAATTTTTAAAATATTATTTATAGGGGCTGGAGTTGTGGCCCAGTGGTAGAGCGCTTGCCTAGCATGTGTGAGGCACTTGATTCAATCCTCAGTACCACATATAAATAGATAAAATAAAGGTCCATTGACAACTAAAAATATTTTTTAAAATTTATTATTTATATATTTGTATTGATTCCTTTTAGTTATACATGAAAGTAGATCCGATTTTGATAATATTATACATGCATGGAATATATCTTATTCTAATTAGGGCCCCATCTTATGGATGTACACATGGTGGAATTCACTGTGATATATTCATATATATGTGTTGGGAAGTTATGTCAGATTCATTTCACTGTCTTTCCTATGCCTATCCCTTCTCCCTCCCTTCATTTCTCCTTGTCTAATCCACTGAACTTCTATTCTCCCCATATCTTATTGTGGTTTAGTTTCCACATCACAGAAAAAAAAAAAAAAAAAAAAAAACATTTGCCCTTTGGTTTTTTGGAGGAATTGGGTTATTTCACTTATCATGATCTTCTCCAGATCCATCCATTTACCAGCCAAAGTCATAAAGTCATTCTTCTTTATGGCCCAGTAATAATCTATTGTGTATATACACACCATAATTTCTTTATCCTTCATCTATTGATGGTCATTTAGTTTGGCTTTATGGTTTAGCTGTTGTGAATTGTGCAGCTATAAACATTGATGTGATCTCTTCACTATACTATGCTGATTTTTTTAATATTTATTTTTTAGTTGTAGTTGGACACAATACCTTTCTTTTATTTATTTTTATGTGGTGCTGAGGATCAAACCCAGCACCTTGCACATGCTAGGCAAGTGCTCTACCCCAGCCCTAGTATGCTGATTTTAAATCCTTTGAATATGTACTTAGGAATGGGATAACTGTGTTAAATGGTGGTTCTAGCCCTAGTTTTTTTTTAAACATATTGAGATTTTATTGTCATTAAGATCTGCAAGCACTCCATGATAAGGAATTTCCATATGCTTTCCATATGTTGTCCCACCAATAATGTATGAGTGTATCCTTTCCCCACATCCTCACCAACATTTAGTGTGACTTGTATTCTTGATAATTGCCATTCTGACTGGAGATGAAATCTCAGTGTAATTTTAATTTGCATTTCGCTAATTGCAAGAGATGTTGAACTTTTTCATATATTTGTTGACTGTTCCTTTGCCCATTTATTGATGGTATTATTTGTGGATTTTTTTGGTACTAAGCTTTTTGAGTTCTTTATATATACTGGAAATTAATGCATTTATCTTAGGTGTGAGTGGCAAAGAGTTTCTCCAATTCTATAGACTCCCTCTTCACTTTCTTGATTCTTTCCTTTGCTGTGAAGAAGCTTTTCAGTTTGATGACATCCAATTTATTGATTTTTTATTTTACTTCTTGTGCTTTAGGAGTCTTGTTGAGGAAGTCACTTCCTAAGTTGACATGATAGTTGGGCCTACATTTCCTTCTAGTAGGTGCAGGATTTCTGGTCTAATTCCTAGGACTTTGGTCCACTTTGAATTGAGTTTTGTGCAGGGTGAGTTGATTACATGTGGACTACATATGGGCTTCCAGTTTTCCCAGCACCATTTGTTGAAGAGGCTTTTATCCAACGTGTATTTTTGGCACCTTTGTCTAATATGAGATAAGTGTATTTAGGTGGGTTTATCTCTGTTTCTATTCCATTGGTCTTCAAGCCTGTTTTGGTACCAATACCATTAATCAGATCATGTTACTTTTAACATGAGTGCGTGTGATCGTGTTTCCACTTACTTTTAACCCATGTCAGAAAATCTATCCCCTGCCCTCACCCGAACCTCACTGCATTGACCTCTTTCCTGCCCATCACACAGTCTGTAATTGTTCCAGCTTTAGGACCAGTTAATTATTCTCATAACCTGTGATCTTCAAATCTTCCGGTTTTACAAATTCTCATAATTTAATCTCACTTTAAATGTTAACTTGTCAAAGAATTTACCAATCTAACTAACATGCACCCAAACCAAAATGTAACCATGTTTCTTGTATTCTTTTCTTTTTTTCTTTTTTCTTTTTAGTTGTGGGTGAACAGAATACCTTTATTTTGTTTATTTATTTTTATGTGGGGCTGAAGATTGAATCCAGTGCTTCACACATGCCAGGCAAATGCTCCACCACTAAGCCACAACCGCAGCCCCCTTGTTCATTCTTCAAAACTTCCCTTAATATTCTGATAAACCCACCTAAATACACTTATCTTATATTAGACAAAAGTGCCAGAAACACACGTTGGAAAAAGACAGTCTCTTCCATTTTTCTTTGACTATACCCTCCAGAATAAGATCTAGAAGCATGAACTATGCTGTATGTGTATAACTACTTTCTCATAAATTCCAAGAACGCGTGTGGTACAATATCTACAATTGCAATATGAAAAATATGTGTATGTACATATATATTCACTGAAGTAATAGAGAAATATGCCAAGTTTCTTGTGGAAAAACAATTAACACTCTTACTTAACAATGTTAATTATCTATTTTTTTTTTTATTTTTTGATGTTGTTGTTGTTAAAGAACCTATAAATTCAATGTAACAAACATCAATATTCACATGGCACTTTCAATGTGGATGAGGAAATTCTGAAAAGTAGAAAGAATAAAAATAATCAAAAAAATGATGAAATAAAAAATGTATCTAAAGAAACAAAATGTAATGAGATAAGTGAAATAATTGACATATACTGTTGAGAGCTATGGCCCAGTCAGAATGACGCCTGGCATTTGCCAGAGAGAATGGTTGAAAAATGAAGCCAGTGAACCATTGAGATGATGATTTGAGTTAAGCTATATATAATTCCTGTGATGCTGGATTGATTGAATTGTATATTTGACCTTTACTGTCGGGCGATAGGGCAGCTCTTGCTGCCTCAGGTGCCCGCTACTTTGGAGTTCCCGTGCAGTTCTCGCGGGGGTTCGGAGAGATTGGACGGAGTGTGGTGAAGGGAGTGTGTTCCCATGTGGTGTATGCAGTGCGGGTGAGAGTTGGGGAATAAAGAGTTGCTGTTTGAATCTACAAGGCTTTGTGGCTGCTCAGTTATTTGTGCCCAGCCAGACTGTGGCAATATACACCAGCATACATGAAAAAAGTAAGCATGTATTACAGTAGAATTTGAAATTAATGATAAGGAATGACTAGTAGGAGGGTAGAAGATGAACCACTACAAAATAACTAGAGAAAAACTACCATACTAACTAACAAGTATAAATTCTCCGAAAATGAATTCCGATACTTTAAAGACAAAATGATTATAATAAATGTTCTATGTCAGCCTGTCCACATCAGAGTCACACTCTTCATGTTTCCCAGAACCTGTCTGCATTTACTTGGGACCATATGATTGCATTCCAATGAATACAATATGCCCATGTAGGATTTGTTCTCCTTCGAAGCCACAAAACCTACCTGTGAACAACCATTTTAATTTCAGTTTCTGAATATTAACAAGCAGGAAATTCTTGAATCTTCTGAAGGGCTGATTTGTCACTTTGGGTCCACAAACCAGCTAATTGATCCCTCACCTAGCATTTATGTATATAACTTTTACCTGTTCAACCATTGAGATTAAGGTTTATTGGTCTGAGTGATGGTGACTGCTAGGTAGCCAACTATGGCACTGAGGCCAGATCCAACCTCCCTGCTTTTGCAAAGGAAGTTTTCTTGGAACACATTTGTGTTTGTTTTGTCCATGAATGCTCTCCTTCTATCACAGTAGATTGGAGTATTTGGTATGGAGATGTGAGACCCACAGACTGAAATATTCACTATCTGGCCCTTCATAGTAAAAGGTTACTGATCCCTCTGTTTCAGCAAGTACAACTACCTTAGTTTAAAAAAAAAATTAAACTAGAATTCAATGATGACATAGGGGGAAATTTTTAATACATTAGGGGTAAGGATAGTGCCTTTTAAAAACTAAAATCTAGATGTTCCTCTATACTGTTATACCCTGTCTCTCACTTCTACCACAACTTTTGCCTGATTAACTCTTTCATATTTCAATTCTCAACTTAAAGTACCTTTTCAGAAATTCTTTCTGTTCCTTTCCTTAAAATCTGTAATTATGTGGTTCTATTATTTTGTTGAAGTGCATTTGCCAAGATTAATAATGTTGTAACTGACAAATTTATATAACAAAACTCTGATATAGAAACTTTTCCTACACATCCGGGTCCTGCTTCTAAGTCTGTGGCTTCTTGTGTCAGACTTGACTGACTACCCTTGGTCCCTCTTGAATTGTTGATACTCTGTGGTTCTGTCCTGAATTTTTATCCACTACTTTTGACAACCTCAAGTCCTATCCAGGATCCCATTAAAGAATTACTTTGTGTTTTTGACACAATGTACAATATATATCTCTTCCATCTTCACTACTCACATGATCCGGTATAGAACCTACTACCTGTATTTTAACAAAACCACCTTATCACTTGGTTTCCTAGTTAATACTTTGGGCATATATCCTTAGGTATTTCAAACTCAAATTGCATTAATTTATTTGAAGCTACCATCTAAATTTTTTATGGGTAATTACTGGGGATTGAACTCAGGGGCACTCGACCACTGAGCCACATCCCCAGCCTTATTTTGCATTTTATTTAAAGACACAATCTCACTGGGTTACTTAGTGCCTTATCTTTGCTAAGGCTGGCTTTGAACTGGAGATCCTCCTGCCTTACCCTCTGAGCCCCTGGAATTAAATGTGTGTACCACCATGCCCAACCCATTTAAATATTTTTCTAGGAAGTAACTCTTTCCTAAACTTTATTCAATACTTCAAGAGAGTATTCCTTAAGCAACAGCATTAGCAGTGGTAACAGACAATCAGTTTCCTAGACCTCCTTTTCTTACCTCATTCTCAGTTTCTACTACCGTCACCATAATTTCTCCAATCTTCAGCAATTTTTTCCCCCAAAATACATGTTGGTCAGATTCTTTAGTACTGAATTCAAGGCACTTTTCAATATAGACTTTTTATCTTCTCAAACCTTCCATTTCACTATGTTCCTATATATGTAACTTTAGAAAATTTAAAATTTGTTGTTACTTAAACATTCTCTCTTTTCAGTATCAGAAACTGTTAAATTTAGAATTAATGGCCATGTTAGAAATATAGCGCCATAAAGACTTTATACTTTGTGTCTATATCCTTAACTCCTAGAATGGTCCCTGGGACATATTGAACACATTCAAGAAATATTTAGTAATTACATGTAGGAATAAAGGAAATGAACCCATTTACCATCACATATTTTCATATTAATGTAATTATTTTATATGGTTGTTTAATTTTTTATATATAGTTATACATCTCCTTCCTTCAGTGTCCTTTTTAGATTGTGTGGACTCAAAAGTAGTTAATCTGTTTGCTTCCCTAGTTATCTTATGTCTCTCTATCTCTATCTTTCCCCCTCCCTTTTTCCCTCTCTATTGCACTTTATTTTACTTTCCTTTTAAATTCGTTCCCATGGTTGTCAAGATTCCCTGCTTTGTTTTATATTTTTTTATTTTTAGTTAACAAATAATGCTCATGTATTTTAAATAGACAATTTGTTGAATTTATCTGAGAAGAGATATAGGAAAATAGAAGGGAAAAAAGTAAAAGAATGGGATGAAAGTTGGAAAACTTTTCAAGAAAATTCTTTCTCTCCGCATCCCTATATTGGTCATCATAATCCAAGATCTCCATCTCCAAAATGATTATTTTGCAGTTACTCTCCGGAAAGCCCCTTTGACATCCTTGTTTCTCAGGCTATAAATAATGGGGTTCAACATAGGTGTTACTGCTGAATAGAACACAGAAATCATTTTATCCCTCTCATTCATTAGCTTGGAGTTTGGCCTCATGTAGGCAAATATTGCTGAGCCATAGAAGAGAACAACAACCATGAGATGGGAGCCACAGGTAGAGAAGACCTTGAGCCTCCCCTCTCCAGAATGCATCTGGATCACAGTGCAGATAATGTTCCAGTAGGAGACCAGGATGAGGGAGACAGGAGCCAGGAGGATCACCACGCCCATGGCAAAGATGGCCATTTCTGTGCTGTAAGTGTCTGCTGAGGCCAGCTTCAGGAGGGCAGGAGGCTCACAGAAAAAGTGGTTAATGATATTGTTTCCTCGGTAGGGAAGACGCAAGGTGAATGTGGTGTCCACCAGGGACACAAATGCTCCACTGGCCCAGGACCCCACAGCCAGCCTGACGCATGCCCAGTGGGTCATGATGGCGGAGTAGTGCAGGGGCTTGCACACAGCCACATACCGATCATAGGACATCACTGCCAGAAGAGCACACTCTGTACACCCAGTCAGAAGCAGAACAATGATCTGCACTGAGCACCCAGCAAAGGAAATGGTTTTCCTCCTCACCAGGAAGTGGACAAGCACCTGGGGCACAGTGGTAGTAGAGAAACAGAGATCAGCAAAGGACAGGTTTCTAAGGAAGAAGTACATGGGAGTGTGGAGTCTGGAGTCCATGTGAATGAGCACCACCATCAGCAGGTTTCCCAGCAAGGTCAGCAGGTAGATGATGAGGAAAAGGAGGAAGAGCAGGACTTGGGTGTGTGGGTCCTGTGAGAGGCCCAGGAAGACAAACTCTGTCACAGAGGTTTGGTTCTCCTCTCCCATGAGTGTCTGTCCCTGTTTATAGAAGAGCATCAAGATAAGAAGTGCATTAGTTATTTCAGAAAACATGCATAACTTAGATATTTTTTAATCAGCATCAAATTTGGTTCTTGATTCCTCTCTTATACTTAGTTTCCATATGCCAAAGACTGAGGTTTCTTTTTTCAGCTTTAACAAATGAAAATCATTTCTATTTTTCTCCTCTTGAATCTTTTATTTATTTACCATTTAAATTTTTAAATTTGTATATCTTTATGGGTTATAATATGGTCATGTAATTCAGGTATACAATGTATATTATTGAATCAGGGAAGAAATATTTCCATCTCTTAAATCATTAAACCTATGTCATACCATTAAGCAAATAAATGCTTTAAGATGAAAACAGTACAGAAGAGGAGATGGAAAAGGCATTAAAAAGCATATTTAATAAGATAATCAGTAAAAACTTCCCAAGTCTTAGGAATGATATGAACATCCAGATCCACAAAGTTCATACAAGATGGACTCGATACAAAAATATCCTTTCCAAGATTTATTATAAACAAGTTGTCAGAAGTCAAACAGAATCCTTAAAGCAAGAGAAAAAAATTCAAGTCATACATATAAAGGAATCCCCTCGAGAAGTTTCTCTGCAGACAATTTGCAGGCTATGAGACAATAGGGCAATATACTCAGAGTACTGAAAGAAAAAACAAATCTAGCAAACAATTGCAGGCCAAGAATACTAGGCCTACCATACCAATCCTTCAGAAATGAAGAAGAAATAATGTCATATTTAGACAAGCAAAAGCAGAGGGAATTCATTGCCACTAACCAGTCTTTCCTTTTCAAAAACAGGTTGTAGGGAAGGCCAAATTCTCCTTCACATCCATTCCTTGAATATAAACCCACAAGATTTTCCATTTTAAATTAAATGTTTCCATGTTAAATTAATTGAAAGAATTCAATGAAAAATTTTTCAAAAAGAAAAAGAAAAACACCCAGGCACAGTGGTGCATGCCTGTAATCCCAACATCTCCAGAGGCTGAGGCAGGAGGACCGCTGGTTCAGCCTCAGCAACAGCAAGGTGCTAAGAAATTCAGTGAGACCCTGTCTCTAAATAAAATACAAAATAGGGCTGGGGATGTGGCTCAGTGGTCAAGTGCCCAGTACCCCCCCAATAAAAAAACAATATCTGTAGATAATTTGATGGTGTACATAAAAACTTAAAAAAACTTGAATCAAGCCTTTAATCACTGAAGAAATATTATATGATATAAGGTTAATAGTTGAACATTCCTGTGTTTTATGTACCAAAATAATCAAGTAAAATTGGGGGAAAAATGTTTTGCAATAGGAAAAATGACATGCTTGTAACAGTACTATTCACAATAGCCAAGATTAGGAAAAAAAAAAACAATATTTCCCTCAACCATTAAATGATTAAAGAAAATGTGGTATATACATTCATTAGAATGTTTTTCAGTCATAAACAAATGAAATATTAACATTTGCCACAAGATCAATGCAACTGGATAACTTCATTTTAGGAGAAATAAGCCAGGAACAGAAAGACAAATCATTCACTTATAGAAGCTATAGAGGTTGATCTCATAGAAGTAGAGAGTAGAGTGATGGTCATCAGGGGCGAGGAGAGAAAGGCATAGACAAAAATTGGTAAACAGGCAAAAAAATACAGTTATACAGGAAAATAGAGTTCTAGAGCTCTATAGCACAGTAGGGTGATTCTCATTAATGATGATTTAATGTATATTTCAAAAGAGTCAGAAGATGCACACTCTTGCATCCCAGGAGGCTGAGGCAGGAGGATCCCAAGTTCAAAGTCAGTCTCAACAACCTAGCAAGGCCCTAAGCAGGTCCTAAGACTCTGTCTCAAAATAAAAACTAAAAAGGGGCTGCAGATCTGGCTTAGTGGTTCAGTGCCCCTGGGTTCAATCACTGGTACCAAAAACAAAACAAAAAGAAAAGTAATAAAAATTAAAATTAAAAAATAATAATAATAAAATTATTAAAATGAAGGTGCACAGAAAACATATCCTGGAAGATATAAAATATATTATCAATTTCCCTTTATTTTATATAGTGTACACTGAGTAGGCATAAAACCTCCAACCAATAAGTATATTTTAGAACTGCAATAGACCTTAGTATAAATAGAAATGTATGATAAAATACCATCTTACATCAGTGCGTTACTTAACAAAATTATGGAAGAATTGCTTAATCACTTTAGAAAATTATGTATATAGGTCTCTGTGGAAGCAGTAATAATTTAATATTTAAGGCATTTATTTTCCTTGCTGTGACTCAAAGACCTGACCAGCACAATTGTAGAGGAGGAAGTCTTTTAGAAGGCTGGCTCCACTCCTCAGGACTGGAGATGAGGCTCAACATCATGATGGAAGAGTATGGCAGAAGGAAACAGCTCACATCATGATCAGAAGCAAAGAGAGAGAAGTCTCCACTTCCCAGATATGAATATATATGCTCCAAAACCACTCCCCAATTCTCACCTTCTCCAGCCACACCCTACCACTTCAGCTACCAAATCCCTATCAGGAAATTAATTCACTGATTGGGTTAAGACTCTCACAACCAATCATTTCTCCTCTGAACCTTCTTGCAATGTCTCACATGTGAGCTTTTGGGGGACATCTCACATCCAAACCATATATCATTAAGGTTTCATGTGAAATTAAATAGCCTATATATTCTGTCACCCATCCATCTATCCAATCTTTGGATTGTAAAGCTTTCCATAATATGTATCAAAGATTTTTAAAAATTAGACAGGCTCATTGGTGCACATAAACAATCCCAACTACTCAGAGGCTCAGACAGGAGAATCTTAAGTTCAAGGCCAATCTAGATAACTCGGTGAGACACTGTCTCAAAATAAATTTTAAAAAGGCTGAGGGAGGAAGTTCAGTGTTAGAGCACTTCTCTAGCATGCATGAGGCCCTGGTTCAATCCTCACTGCTGTAAAATAAATAAGTAAATATAGACAGAATAAAAGAAAATGCTAATGACCTTGGTAATTAAAAATATCAGATTTCTGTGTAGTGGATGGCATCATGAATAAAATAAAAATATAATCAAAATGTATCTATGAAAATATTTACAAAAATTCCTAATTATTTTATGATTCTTAGTATATGAAGATCTCTTATAATCAGTAATAAAAGGTATGAAATCCATTAGAGTATAATGTGAAGAATATAAATCCACATTCACAAAAGATAGGTAAAACTGAAAAATAAATGTGAAAAAAAATGCAGATTGAAAAAATAAGACATCATATTTTGCCTCTTAGGTAAAATTTAAAATGGTGTAGCTTCCAAGTTTGATGATATAGCAAGATAGCTATGATAGATGGTTAAGTGAAAAACAGCCGTCAGATTTCCTTTGTGATGTACATCTTAGTGCTTTTTAGATGAAGTGTGTTTGCATACGTGCATGCATTTTCAATCTGTATCCATTTCTACAGCAACCTAGCAAGGCACTATCGTGAAGGCTCTCAGTTCTATGGAGTCAGCTAAGCTAACAGATTAGCACTAGGTTCTAAAGCTGTGCTGCTGGGTTTGAATCCTGGCTTGTTTAGTTGATGTGTGACCAACAGCAAATGACTTAGGTTGTCTGTGCCTAGCTTTGCTTAGCTATAAAAAGGTGATGCAAATTGCACCTATCTAATGATTTTATGTAACCATTCAACAAAACATAAAGAATTTGAAGAAATGAGGACAACACATATGGCTAACTCACAATGATATATATCTCTCTATAAAATGAGATCATGATCTCCATCCTATTATTATTGCAAGAGTTATAAAGGACAAAGCTGTAACATATGACTACTGTATTTGATTGAGGAAGATTATGATTCTCATTAATTATTTCTACCCATTGCATCCTCTGTTCTTTGCTCATCCTTTGTGATTACAACTTTATTGCTAGCAAAATCCAAATTCAAGGTCAAATGTGGTATGGGAAATTGAAAGACATCCAGGTATATTTAATAAGGTTATTCTCTCTATTTTAAAAAACTGGTTTTTATTATTATGAAAGATTTCAAACATGTAAATTCATAGATGATTGCACAACAAAATTTCAAATATCTGTTGATGAAATTCCAAAATATCAATTAATTTTTATCAATTGATAATTTATTTTGTTAGACTTTATAATAAAAATCTACCAGTGTCTAAGGATAAAGCTGATAGAGTGCTTGCCTAGCACTCATGAGGCCCTGAGTTCAATTCCCAGTACCACAAAAATAAATAACAAAATTACTGAAAACTATTTTAAAACTCCTTTATTATTGAAACTCTGCAAGAGAAATTATCATTTTATATAAATCTGAAATTGGAACCTAATCTTTCCCAGATGTAAAAAATTAAAAATATAAAAATAACCATACATGAAGACTCTTAGGAAAACTATTATCATGCCATAGCAGAACAGTTTGTATGCATGGATAGTCAATCCACAGAAAAATATTCTGTTAATAGTGATGGCCCTTGGGAAGTAGGATTCTAATGGGAATAGGACTAATGGCTGAGGAGAGGCTTCCTCTTTGTTGTTTTTATGCTTATGTGTGTCATTTACTTTACAATTTAACCTACATTTTCTAAGTAAAAAATAAAATACAAATCATTTAAAATAAAACATGAATTTTAATAGAATACAGAAAATCTAAGTAGTAGCAATGACAACAATGTTAGAGTAGTGGAAAAATAGACGACAAATTATGAGTCTGTGTAGAAATCAGAATCAGTAGAGCATATGCTAAAGTTATCACTTCCAGAAAAATGCACCTAATTCTGTAATTTATACTCGGACAATTGCTTAGTAGTTGACAAACAAATGATGTTTGTCCACATAATTTATCATTGAGAAAACATTCGAGAAGAAATCAGGATGTGTTTGTGCATTTCATACAGACACACATATGTAAGCAACATTAAACATTTGACAATAAGGTGATTTTACATTGATTCATG